GACAGAGTCTCACTCCATCGCCAGGAGCCAGGCTGGAGTGCAGTGGTGCAATCTCGGCTCACTGCAACCTCCGCCTCCCAGGTTCAAGCAATTCTCCTGCCTCAGCTCCGGAGTAGCTGGGACTACAGGCGTGCGCCACCATGCCCAGCTAATTTTTGTATTTTTAGTAGAGACAGGCTTTCACCATGTCGGCCAGGATGATCTCGATCTCTTGACCTCGTGATCTGCCTGCCTCGCCCTCCCAGAATGCTGAGATTACAGGTGTGAGTCAATGCGCCCAGCCAGAAATACATTTTTTTCAAACTACCAGACAGGCAAAATGTTAAAGCTAGACTATATGTTGTCGGCAAGCCTGTGGTAAAGGTACTCCTAGGTGTTTAAATAGGCATAGTTTTTATATAGGGCAATTTGGCAGTGTTTGTCCAAACTGCAAGCATGAAAGCCTTTGTCTTCCAATTCATCACCTAAGAATGAATGCTACAAATATGTTTGTGCCCAAGCAAGATAATATCCACATAATAAAGCATTTCAACAGTTTTAAGGATCTAAAGTAAATAGAAAAATCTAAACTTTTATCACTAGGAAGCTCATTAAATGAATATAAGTTCTATATAACACATATATGATTATATATCATTTATATATAATTATATATCATATATATTATATATGAGCATGGAATACTATGCAGCTATAAAAAGGATGGGAAAGCTCTTTGTATTTTGATAAAGATTTTCAGGATAGATTAAATGAAAATGAAAAGTTGGAGATAAACCTACATTCTATTTTACCATGAGTATAAAAACTTAAATGAGTAGAAATAAAGAAAACCTATCTTTGCTGCTTGTATACAGCTAATGTTTTACTGGAAGCAAAAGCAAGACATTAACAGCAGTGATTACTTTTGGGGCTATGGAAGATGAGCAGATGGAGGAAGGGAGGGAGGGTTGAGGGGTGTGTTACTATATCCAAAAATGTTACATTAAAACAAAATAAATTTAACTGATTCATAAAATTTATCTTTTGAAGCAGGACAGTGTGAAAAATATTAAAATATTTTCTTTTAATTATTATTGTTATTGGCTCTATGAAACAATTCAGTAGATTATTAAAGGCCACAAAAACAGCACATAGGACAAATAAGTTGGGGGAAAGGGGGTAATTCCCTGCCCTGTTTTCTTCTTATGTTTGCGACATGTAATGGCTTTAAATTTTCAAATGCCTAGTATTTGGACTTAATAAATTATTGTTAAATGCCTCTCTTATTTTAAGATAAAAGTGAGATGCAGCTCGATTTCAAAGTGAAAACTGCGATCTATCTGCCTTGTTACATCTAGAACTGATAGTTTATAAAGCAGAGTTTCCTTCAGCCAATGTTAGCTCCTGAATCATTTTATTTTATAAATAAAAACTGTGTGGGGTGGCAATGGTGTCCTTTGTTCTGTCTCTGTCAGCTGGAGGCCACCTCCTGTCAATGCCTTGTCATTACTTGGGTCCCATTCTTCCTGCACTATGCTTGCCTGAGCTCCTTTATGCCCCATCTATCCTGATTACAGCCAACCTTACTACCGGTTTTACCTTCTAATCCAATTCTCATACAGCTGTCAGAATAATCTTTCTCAAAGTAATCTGCTGGCCGGTCGCGGTGGCTCACGCCTGTAATCCCAGCATTTTGGGAGGCTAAGATGGGAGGATTACTTCGGGTCAGGAGTTCGAGACCAGCCTGGCCAACATGCTGAAATCTCATCTCTACCAAAAATATAAAAAATTAGCTGTGGTTGCCCATGTGGTTGCCCATGCCTGTAATCCCAGCTAACTCAGGAGGCTGAGGCAGGAGAATTGCTTGATCCTGGGAGGCAGAGGTTTCAGTGAGCCGAGGTCATGCCACTGCACTGTAGCCTGGACAACAGAGGGTGACTGCATCTCAGAAAACAAAACAAAACAAAACAAACAAACAAACAAACAAAACCCTCCAGTGATCTGTATTAGTAACCTCTTCCTACTCAATGTTCCATTTCTTAAAGATAAGATGTAAACTGTGTGACCTAGCACACAAAGTGCTGGGTAATGGGATCCAGGTCCACAAGCTGCTGGCACTCAGCCGCTGGAAGTCCTGGGCCATGCTCCCCTATATCCCTGAGCCTGGCTGCTGCTTCTCCTGGCCTTGTAACCATGCTCTTCCTTCCCTCAGGTTTTCAGCCTGTGCTGCTGCATAAGGAGGGTTTCACAGCACTGCACTCTGCATTTCCTTGGCTCTGTGCACTAAGTGCTGGGAACATGCCTGTCTTTTATAGATTTACTTGAGGAGCTTCTGTTCACTAAGATCTTCAGAGAGGACAGTGTACCTTTAAACTCTGTCACTGTGACCAGCTCACATAGATCACAATACTTTTCTATAGGAGAGAGAAAGAAAGAAAGGGATGGAGGAAAAAAAACCTATTAATTCATTAGCATAATCTATCAAACAATGAAAACTCAGATGCTTTGGAGCAAACAGTGAATAAACCAGTGAAACCAAGTCAGCTGTTAATTCGCCAGCTCTCCTTTTCTAATTACCATGAGTTTGCTGCCCCCAACCCTATATGAAGCACCCAACTTACTCAGTGAAGGGAATAGCGCCTTGGGCCCTAATGGAGGTGGGAGTCAGCAGCTACGGAAAAGTGGCAGTTCCTGCCTGCTGAATGTCACACTGTTGAACAGTCTGCTGGAGTTGTGCTGGATAAAACACTTCTCAGGAGGGAGGAGAGAGACATTTAGCTTTCAGTTACAAAGGAACTTAATATATAAAATGTTGCAAAAGTTGAAAAACATATATATACATATATATATATATATATGTATATATATACAATTATTAGTTCTATTTAATTATTCATTTTGCTAAGGTTGAGGCAAGTTTTGCAGGGGAAGATGAAAGTTGTGATCATTTTGGTAGAAGGGTATAGCCAGAGACTTCCATAAAATTGAGAGGGAAGGAGGGGCAGGGGAAACCAGGCAGGTTGGATTGCAAAGCATGCTTTTTCTCCTCTATCTCTCATGTCTTCTCAAGGGGGCCTTCGAAGCTCAACAGAGGCTAAATTCTCAACATTATGACCCAAGCCATGATCTATAGCGATGGTCAAAGGAGTAAGGATGAGGCAGACCCAGATTCAAGTTCTGAGTGTACCTGAGGCATGCATGCCTCACCTCCCTGAGTCTCAAGGATCCTATATGTAAAATGGAGATAATAATTTTCCCTTAGAGGATTAAAGATGAAGGTTATTTCTTCTGAAGTGCCGTGCATACAGCAGGTAATCAGCAATGGCAACTGGGATAACTATTTCTTCGCTGCTGCCTTTGCCCACAGTCTGACTAGCTGTCCTCCGTTTATGTACCCCAGCTTTACTCCTCCTCCCAGGCACAGCTCAGGATTCACCTTCTCCACTGAAGAATCATTCAGACTCAAAGAATATGCATTCTTTCTAAAACAAAATACCCATTTTCAATCCTATTTATGTAGTCATAAGGACATAGTTCCTTTTATTATTTAATTTTTAAGTCTTGAAAACACGCCCTATTTTTTTCTGGAAGGAGCTATGCCTATCAATTGAACTTGGTTCTGGACTATGTGGGCAAAGCCTGTTATTCCTTTCCAGTTCAGCACAGTTCCAAGCCTGTAGGGAAACATG